GGCGGGGTCACTGTCCTCCGCGGTGAATACACTTGGGGACAATTTTATAAAACTTTTTATACAATTAGCAATTAAAATATTGAACAGAATATTTTTTTAAATATTTTTGGATGATTTAGCATTATTTCTATTATTAATTTCTTAAATATGGCATGAATGCAAATCAACACACATTTGTATAACATTTTTGTATAAAAACAACATATCAATTGCTACACTGTCGTAAAGGTTTGGTGATTTAGCTAAGAAGAGCACCTTAACAGCACGTAATAAAAATACAGATGCCTCCAGTTCTACAAAACTTACATCAACAAAATCATTGACAGTAGTAAATTGTTGAAGAAATTTAATTTCTGATGAATGATTCTTACCCGAGTTGGACACCATGAGTGTCAAGTATTCTCCAGAGATGTTGGAGTAGAATCCGAGCAAGAACCCCTTAGGGTTTGTGGTGGTGAAGCCAACGCGGATCTTCTCGCTGATGGTGGATCGCCACGAGCCCAGAAAGTCGTACTTCACCATCGAGTTCGGGCGGAGATTCACGCCGATTTCTGGTTAAATTAATTATATTTTCATTTGTTCTAGCATCAAAACTTTAACATTTTTGAAAAGGGGTGTAATAATGAGGTATTCGTTTATACTGGCTCTTGAACAAACAAGACGTATTGTTAATAGATAAGATTACTACGTCAGATTTATATTTACTTCTCACGTTACTAAAAGTCAAAACGAAAATATTTAGAAACAACTACGAAGAATGTTTTTAAAATTAATTGACCGTTATACATTCATTTTCCTTTAAATGGTTTCGTTAATGAATCCTTTTATTTATTATATAATAAAGAGCAAGTGGAAAATACCAAGAATAAAGTGGTATTTATGTAGACTGAAGTGAATGAAGGAAGCGCAAGAGGTCTGGCAGAAATCTAGTAGGTATAGTTCATTTCACATAGCATGGGTACGGTGACGTTTGAGAGTTAAAGTTTCTAGGGATGAGGTGACGTAAAATCGAATGAAAATAAAATCGATTTAAATATTTTATCTACATAATTTGTAACAACGAGTGAATCGTTCTAGAGACAATAATTTAAAAACAAATAATTAACAAAATAAAAATAAATTTTATTATTATATCATTAAGTTACTGAAAAAGCTATACAGGAACGAACTGAAATTTGAATAGTTACTTCAAAATCGTTATACAGAACTCAAAACAAAAGAAATCGACTCGCATATGCATTTGTATGTATACGTATCGAAGCGAGGTACATAAAAGTCCATTCGGTTTATCGTTTCTGTGGTGTCAATCTCTACGGAAAAATATTTCGTTTTACGTAACAAGTAGTTGGGGTAATTTGTTTTTATATTTATCATTTTTGTTTTATCTACTGTGTTTCAATACGCCCACTGAGACACAACCTAACCCGGTTGAGATCAGCGGAAAACGTGAAAATTTGAAGTGTGACAGACTGCAGAGGTGTGCGTTGTCCGGTTAGCCGAGCGAGGGTAAGAGGACTGACCGTCGGCGCAGATGGGCCCCTTGAAGGCGGTGAAGCGGCAGTCGCAGACGTAGGAGTCGTAGCCCTCCAGGCACGTGCCGTTGTTGAGGCAGGGCGCCGACTGGCACTTGCCGCGGCAGCCCTCGGCCACGCCGTACAGGCCGCGGCGCGCGTGCGCGCGCAGGTCCACGGCCCGGCCGTTGAGCAGCAGCGCGCGCAGGCAGCCCACGAAGCCGTCCTTGCGGTCCAGCGCCGCGCCCAGCACCAGCCCCGTGCTGAGCTGCAGCGCGCGCAGCGGCTCCTTGGCCGTGCGGATCTCGTTCTTCAGCGCGCCGTCCACCACCACGCGCGCCTCCTTCCTGCCGGCCGAGCGAGCCGTCGAGGCGTAACCGGACAGACGAATGGCGCTCCGATTGGCCAGCCCGACCTCGACACGAATGTTTCGCTTCGAAGCGACCAGTTAACTCGAGCTTTGCTACAATGGATCCACACCAACGAATGGAACAGCACGCCGTTGTTAGAGATATTATCTTTATTACAATAAATACAGAATATCTCTTTAATGTACACACAGGTCACTTGTTGGCGCGGTACTATTTAAGCTTTCTAATTTGTAATTTCAGTGCCAACGAGAGTCGATATTTACGAGTTATGTATCACTGATGAGTTACCAGTAATGTATGGCCCTTATTTCGTCTGTATTTCTGGTTATATACTCGATGCGCAGTACATATTATCCACGCTGCACGTGCTTCTTCGAAATATTACAGGAGAGCGAATTTAAAGTATATTTTTTAAGAAAGCAAACAACTAACTTTATTTCTTATATGGAAAGGCTGAAACCTCCCACTTTACAGCTACGATTTCTTTTTAAATTACTTTAAATCATGCTATATTTTCAAAAAGCACGTCACCTGTTTTACCTTTCCAGTGTCGACGTCGCCGCAGCGTTTCCGCAGAGCATTGAACACCGCCGTAAAGTTGCCTACTTATCGCTATTCTACAAAATATAATCACGGAGAGTGTGCGAGGGAATTGCACGACTTAATCCCGCCTTCTCCTATCCGTCGTCAGGGGACTAGACGTAGACTGGAGTTCCACCCTTATGTTGTGGATATTCCAAGGATTCGATGCCTGCAAACTTGTTCCTTGAACGATATAACTTGAGCCTTTTCAAGGCGAGAGTGAATAGGCATCGGGTGAAATAGAAATCAATTGCGCACTTACTTAAAAAAATTCTCCGTTACAAACCTGTTCCGCTCGATGGACACGGAGTGCCAGTGGTTGTCGGCCAGCCGGTTACTGGTCTCCACGGATACGCCGAGTGGCGTGTCGCCCACCTGGAACTGGAACTGCAGCTGATCGCCGCCGATTATCGACAGCTTTATGTAGTCAGTGGGGCCCTGGGGAAAAAAATATAGCTGTGTATTGACGCAAAACGATTGTTCTTCCTAATTACTCCTACCGACTTCATATGAACTTGATAGTACACCTGCAAACTCCAACAAACTTAAACTTATTATTCTTCTATAAAATTTTCATCAAAATGACATTAAAATTCCACTAATATTATCATAAATAATTTTGATTTTCATCGACACGTGCTAGAACCCAACCTTACAAAATCGAAAATACCTCGCTAAAATACAAAATCGAAAATAACTACGCTATAATAACCTACTAAATCTAAGTAATGCCACCAGGCGCTCACTACGAAGAAAAAGGAATGTAAGCATGCGCTCAGAAAGGTGACAATGACGTAGCCCGCCGCGCCGTGTGCAGTCGTGCGGAACCGAATGCTCATAAATGAAAGACTTGTGTGAGCACTTGCGCCGACGTCGGCGCACTCAGTGGTAGGCACATATCACGTAACCCTGAGTGACGGAGCCCTGCTCTCATTCTTTCACACGACAATACTCTCTAATTAAACAGTTTTGTAATTAACCATTTTCCTTAGGTGAACTAGGCCTCATTTTAGCTATTAGCCACTTTTCAAATTGGCCATTCATCGACATAAAATCAATTGCTCAAATATCGTACCTTAGAGTGTAACAGCACAGCGTTTTCTTTTGTAGTCTTAAATTCGAAATAGATGTCTCCGCTGTGGCCGAGGTCGAACGTCGGCAGAATTATCACCGCGTCCGAGATACGGAACGTCACCGCATTGCTGAATAGATCTACAAAGAATATATATATAATAGTCTTAGAGCCACCTACGATGTTCTTAAATGGAAATATTAATATTCTATCTACGTAGAAAGGAACTACCATTGCACATTGTATATAAACTCATAAATGTCCGTACATATAGGCAAAGAATTGATGCTTTTGAGATGTGGTGTTGGCGTTGCCTATTAAGGATTCCCTGGAATGCACGTCGTACAAGCTTAATAAGTGCTTGAGGAATTGCAGTTGCAAAAGCACAACGCTTATCTGCCGTCTGTTTGCTCCGCATTCTCCAATTGGTCACATTGCACGCGGAAGCGCTGTTAGTCTCGAGAACGTGATTGTTACGGGCAGGATTGAGGGCAAACGACCTAGAGGTGAAGTTCGAAACGATGGTGTAACCAGGTGGCTGAAAGTTTGGCAGTACCAGTGAACGTCGCATTCCACCTAGCCAAAGACAGAATGCAGTGGAAAGGATTGATTGACGGTATACTTGGTCAAAGTCACGATCCTCAGCAGTGAGGAACCGACGAAGATATATTACTTTGTAATAATTAATTAATTGCATATGCTAGTGGGGGATGTGCTTTTTTACGGAGGCTGTATTTAGCAGTGATGAAAGAGATTAGAAAAGTATTTTTTTGGAAAACTGCCAATATAAGTTTGTGTGTGGAATATCCTAAATAAACAACCAAAAAATAAGTACATACAATTAAACAAATCCGTAAGAAAATAGAAAAAATATCTCAGCCATAAATGTAATTTGAAATACGTAAGAAAAACCTACCATCTCCTTCACATAATAATGGTCCTAACGTGTAACGTCCTTCCTTCTCGTCAAGATGACTGCCAGTGTCACCGAAACGCAGTTGCTTGACAGGTAGAAACTCTTTCTCTGTGATTTCACCTCCGTCCGCTTGGAACTCTGCGACATACAATATTTTTGTGTAACACCTGCCAGTACGGCGATATTTTTCCTTGCTTAAATACTTAATAATAACAACGCACACACTCATAGCCCCCCATTAGGGAGACCCTGTATCGCGGGTGCCACGGACACACACAGAGACAACCACAAATTACACCCAAAGTCACGAGAGAAATAAAAGTAGGCTATACAAATATTTCTCCCGACCCGGGACCTCTGCGTGGCAGTCCAGCATGGTAACGCTTGCATCTTTATTGGAAGTCAAATATATAAAAATCCATAGTAATTACAAGTGTGGCTCTTTCGGGTTGCTTCTACCAATATTTGAGTAAAAAATGTGACCGATGAAAGTGAGCAAATAAGTATAAATTTGATTGAAAACGCGTAGGACTGGAGCGCGTACCGTCGGGCTTGAGCGGGCTGTACTCGGCGTCGCAGTTGCACCACTTGGTGGGGTCGAGGCAGGCGCCCAGCACGCCGCACTGGCACATGCGGCTGCCGGGCGGCGCGCCCGCCCAGTAGTCCATGCGCTGCCCCGTGCGCGACACCCACCAGGCGAACGGGTGGAAGTTGCTCTCGTCGCCTGTTCATTCATGCAATGTCAACTAACGAGCACAGTTTGCGTCGAGTCAGCCGTGAACTGGTTCGAAACATGTGCAATAACTCGCATGCAAAAATTACAAAAATATAAGTCTCAAATGTAGAAGAGTACTATTAAAATTGTTCAAACTTTGTGAAAATATATCTAACAGAAGTCATTTTACGTTTTTAAATTTGCGTTTTGCAATTATACTCTTCTTCTTCCTGTTCTTATCCCACGTTAGATGGGGTCGGCACAACATATATTTTTCTTCCACTCTCCCCTATCAGCCTTCATTTTTATACTCACCCTTATTTAATTATATAATACTTTTGCAATTATACTAACATTACAAAACGGGAATAACGCGATTTAGCAACTCAGCCCGTCTTCACGGGCCGTAGTCCACGGCCAGTGCGACCTGGATGAAAAATCAAGACATTAGGAAGATGTGCAAATACTTATTTAATTATTTCATGGCGCTCATTCCCATTTCGTATTGTTATGTACCATTGTACTAACGGTCCTATGTAATGAATTGTTACAAAAGACGTTATTGTTTTATGGCGGTACCAAGTATTGAAATGGTATCAATTTCCAGGTAAAAGTTACTTGCAGCACTCTCAAATGGAACCTCATTGCAGTGTTTAATGGAAATGGAATATTACACGGTATCCCGCCAAAGTTCCGGAAGCAAGGCAAAGTGCAGCTTACTGGGCGAGTTGAGCAGCCGCGAGTGGCGGCACAAGTACTCCAGGCGCTGCATGCAGGTGTCGGAGCGGTTGATGAGCGCCTCCAGCTGCGCGCGCGACGCGTCGTACACGATGTCCTGCCGGAAGCTGCCCGGCTCCTGGTACCCGTCCACCACCGTGTTCTGCGTCACCGAGTGCTGCACGGCCGTGATGATCCTGCCGTCGGCTGCCGGCGAATATTTCTTTATTACACGGTTACGACCACAGTTCGATTAAAGCCTTGCTGTGATATGAGAGCCTATGTTTCTCCGTGCTTTAGTAAAATCTCACGACTACAACAGGGCACCAATAAAGTATTTTTTTACAAGTTTTAAAATAAACTTATTTCTTAAATAAAAAGACATTTATTTGTCCACTTGTTGTTGTCCATTTGTTGTAGAGATGGGCAAGTTCTAACTCGAAGCATTTTTAAAGCCGGGTTTAAATCGGGTTAAAACCGAGGGCAAAAACTATTTACACTAAATATTTGTTGTAAATCGAGTTTTGTTCAAATTTAATTATACCATTACAAAATTTTATTACCGAGTTCTTAGGTTTTCGCGATTGTTACACATAGGAAATTAAACTATTATTCCGATTTTAAATCGCGTATCGTCAAAGTCAACCGTGACCATGGGACCTGTAAAGGACCCGAAACATCGGTTTGTTTGAAAAAACAAATATACGCGATTAAATTTTTATTGAATTGATATTCAATTATTTTTTTGTGAAATTACTCCACTAGTTTGTTATAATTATTAATACAAAGATCGAACACTCAGAAAAAACACTCAGAAAAATATACGCGATTTAAATCCGGAAAAATAGCTTCATTTCCTAAAATGTTTATTGTTTTCTGATATAGACGATTCGATTTGTTTTGTCTAATGAGTTGATTCACTTGGAAATCGCATTAAAAAATAAATCTCCATAAAAAGTGAATCGTGATGTGAATTCTTAGTAGTGACAATCCACAGGAATGCAAGGTGTGCGTTTTCGTTCAAAAACAATTATATCGAAATTTGTAATAACTATAGAATCGTATCAAATTCCGTATTTGCAGTTTCTGCTTACGATTTTGGGCTAAAATGGGTTAAAACGCGGTACGTCTAGGACGGTACTTACAGTAGAACTCGCAGGTGACGGGGAAGGCGGGCAGCGGGCCGGAGCCGTCCACGTCGATGTGGATCTCGGCCGAGCGCGACACCGACTGCACGTTGGCGTAGGCCTGGCACGACAGCGGGTGGGTGGCTGCAAACGCACAACTCCATATTTCCATCTCTTTAACTTCTTAGAGCTTATTAATGCCAACGTACATTCCAATTCATAGGTGCTCACGTTCACGTGACATGAACAGACAACCTGTAAGGGCATAAATTTGCCACGTGACGATGTCGTGCACTGACCGACTAGAAAAAAAAAATTGCAAGACCAGCCTGCTGAGCAGATGTTTCCTTTGTTTTACATTTAAAAATAATATTGTAATATACACGCACATAGAGTTTGTATAAATAGTCTAGTTTTTAGAAATAAAGATCGATCTCTTTGAATCCAGACATCAACGCTGTCTCATTGACGAGAGAACGCTCCTGACTACAGCATCCTCTCACTGCGGTCAAGACCCCTTTAGCCGTCAGCTTATCTATCAGTCTTAAGACTGGTAGTGAAAAAATCCATTCCTTGTACCCCTGATCCTTTCCACCTTCCGTTTGTTACTTTAGATCGTACGATAACAGGCAGTAGTGCATGGTTAAGGGGCTAGGCTGTTAAGTAGGAACATAGGGTTTGTGTTAGGTTACAGCTTTCCCTTACCATTTCATGTATAGCAGCTTTACTTACACTTACAAGATAATACTCAACAGTGTTACTGTGTCATATCACATCCAACAAATACTACACAAAGACTGAGATAAAGTTGTTGGCAGTACAATAGGTAAGAAAATCAAACGCTACTACTCATTCTCTTTAGAAGTTAGACTCTCTTGATAAATAGACAAGTGCCATTTATCATTTACTTCAAATAATAAAACAGATACCTGCAAATTAAAAGAGCTAAATGAGTCACTTTGGTTTATGGGCTATAGATTTTTCTCATCCAAGAAGGTGTGTAAATATAACCTTTATTTTAAAGTTTTCTTTTCACTATAGTTTTATATTTTTTTACTGTTCGTGATGCATACATGTTTTTCATCGCATTTACGAGGAAACAAATATTATTTCTTGTATGAATAAATATGGTTCATAACATAACAATTATGGATTTTGCAAATCTCGGGTTTTTTTTTTCATCAATAGATGGGTACTTATTTTACCATAGATAATACAACTCGAACTAAAATGTTGTAAAAAGCAAAGTGGCATACAGCCATGATGGATTGTAAAAAATTGCAAAATTTTATTCAGAAAATAATTAAAATCAATTATAAGAAATTCTTAATAACAAACATTGAAGTAGTATGTGATTGAATTGCAATTAAATTTCCATTACGACAACATTCTAAACGAATGTTTTACTTAAGTACTGTTGAACTTAAGTAACCTCTTTGCTTAAACTTGAACTTGACCTATGTAAGGATATGTTATGCTACAAATAAAAAAAAACTCCTTACCGACCATGGCTGTAATGGAAAGATAAAAGGCCAGTGGGTAAAACCCACTGGCTTATCATATTTGGACTTTTATTTATTTATTAGGGGCATTATGGTCACGTTAGTCACCATGCAATCACCATGCAATTCATTTACGAGCAAGTGTGATGAAAAACCTCTTATTATAGAAGTGTATACATTGCCATACCATTTGAAAACAATTCATTCACGAAAAGTTTCTGAATATTCTTCTTTAACTTGTGATGCTCTTGTGAGAGTAGCACCTTGCACATTGCTCTCCCGTATGACTTTCTATCCAAATTCCTTATATGACTTTTTCATCACCATCGTTAACGTATTATATATCCCACTATTGAGCACGGGTTTCCTTTGAGGAGAGGGTTAAGGTCACAGTATGCCACGCTGACCCACCATATTTTTCGAAGGCTGTGATGACTAGGTTTCGTATGACATTTTCTGATCCATAACTTCAATTCGTCTTCTCAATAACACCCATACTTAAGTAATATTAAAGCGTAATGGCTTACATGAATGGCAAACGGCGCCAGCATATCCAGTTCCCTGGCAGTTGCAAGAGAACTCTTCCGACGTCTGAGTGCACACGCCGCTGTGCTCGCACGGGTTGGGATTGCACCTATGAAAATACATCAACTTCAAAATTAAACCAAAGCTAAAAAGTAAGTTAGATTGAAGTAAAAACATGTTTTGTTTCAAAGCACTGCGTTTCAGCGTGACTAGTTGCAGTTAACTATCTAAAGCTAAAATGTCATCAAAAAGTCTTCTAAAATTCTGGGATTTGTCATAAGGAATGGAAAGGTATTCCGCTCTCCTGTTACAAAGATAGTTCTCTATAATAGCCTAGTTCGCAGTATAATGGAATATTCTACCCCGGTATGGCGCCCTCATTACGCAAATCACATGTTGCGGCTGGAACGAGTACAAAAGAGATTTCTCTGGCACTTAGCTTACTCAATGGGTTTGGCCAGAAAGTTGCGGTCATATTCTGACAGATTGACGTATTTCAAAATGCTATCACTTGCAAAGAGGGGGGAATTATTGGACTTAATATTTCTATATAAAATTTTGCGTTCGCACGTAGACTGTCCACAACTGCTCGCTAAATTTAACTTCAAAATTCCCTCAAAATATCCCAGGTTTGCAGTTACACCCTTAGTGCCTCCGTTCCGCAAGACCGTTCTGGGCTTTAATTCCTGTGTCCCAAGGCTCTGTAGACTATATAATAAGCACAGTCAGGTAAGCGATATATTTTGGCAGTCGCTGAACAATTTTCGTAATAGTATTATATCTAACCTTAATTAATTTTATTTATTTTTTCTGTTTAACTAATAATGCCGAGACCCTTGTTCGATTGTATTTACTATTACTTTTTTGTTTGTATTTTACTTTTCTCTTTTTTTTAAACTGCATTAAATAGCTTTTTTTAAATTCTAATTTATCTACATTCATGTTGTTTTTGTAAGCTGTGTTTACTTGTAATTGGTTGTGCAATTAGATAAGATCTTCTATACCTACATTTAATTTTAGTAAGTAACATTGTAATAACTGTAAGTGAACTAATAAATAAATAAAAAAATAAAAGCCATAAATGGATGCCGCCATAGGGATTTAAACTGTCGATCTCTGGAAAGTCAAACCCTTCACAATGTAATTGCAAAAACGCTTGTCATCTGAGAATTCATCCGTGGACAGTCGTTTATTAAGTGGTGAAAATCGAAAAGTAACATTTTGGGGAACGCACTAAATAAAAGTAGCATGTAATATTTCATAATAAATACAATTTTGTCACATGTTGGTGCCAACCGAATGACATAATATGGCTGGTTCCGTGTACGTATTTTTTAATTTTTTAAGGAGGAGGTTCTCAATTTCGTTTCAAAGCTTTCTTTTTTGTGTACACAAAAAAAGCTTACGCGATAACTAAAATTTGTGAACCGATTTTCACGATTCTTTTTTTGTTGGAAAGAAGGTACTTCAAAAGTTGTCCCATTTAAATTTGAAGAAAACGAATGACTTTTGAGGTCAGGTTTTTTTAGTAAGTCTGTACTTATTGTATATTATTTACTTATTTATTTACACAATAATAACAATATCACAGACAATCACATCAATTGTCTGATCTCGTTTCCCTGTACTATGAGTACCAGAGCAACGGAACTCACTCCAGGGCATCACTTAGAACACTCAGACCAGAACCAATACAGAAAACTTCATTTCCAAATTGGTCCTGCCGGGAATCGAACTCAGGACTTCCTGATCCAGAGCCTACATTGCAAACCGTTGGGCTACTGAGGGTTCAAACTAATGTTTTGTTTACTTTTTGTATCACTTCTCCATTAAATACTATGAGAATTTCTTCATTTTTATTTAGGAAGCTTTGTGTAAAATTGAATATTTCCATCACAGCATAGAACACGAAATTACGAATCGAACTATGTATAAAATTACTTTTGAGAACAGTAAAGGACCAATAAAGCACCTGTCAATCATCTGGCACGCGTCGAAGGCGACCTCGTTCTTGCAGCAGTACTCCTCGGGCTTCCAGTCGGACGGCAGGCGGTAGTTGCCGTCCACGGCGATCTTGCGCATGCAGCCCACGAAGCCGCGCGGGGGGCCCTTGGCGCCGCCTGCGCCGTCATTGGGGCCAGGTCATTTCATTTACTCTATTTTTGTCTCTTAGCCACTGCTTGTAACTTACTTTATTTGATACACAACACAAAAAGAATACAACTTAATCATAGGTACACGTGTCAGAGAAATATTCGTCGATTTTTACTTTTAAAAGACTACTCAGGGCTTACTTAACAAATGTTCAACAATCTCCACATGGCTGTTGATGTTTCGGGGTCATTATATTTTTTATTATGTTTACTTTTTTGTATGTCAATTTTATTCAATTATTCGCTATACCAATTTTATTTTTAATTATATGTGACGTAATAATGTCCATTGTTGAAATACATAACTGTCTACATTTATATTCATTTTGTGATATTATTTCTAACTAATATCACAAAATGACTAACTCTAATATTTATACATGTTTTATGAAATTAATTTCACATTTTAACGTATATATTATGTAAGTAACGTCATTACTTCTTGTACTGTGTCAATAATCTGTTCGTTCAGACATATTTTGTGCGTTTTTAAGGACATAATTGTCAATCTGTCACGGCTACTATGTTCCGTGTCACGTGTGTTCTGTTGCCGGATCCGCTGAAAATCAGCGTCGTAGCACCATAAGTGAGACGACAATAAGCTGAGTGGGTCACGGATTCCTTGGCAGCACAGCACACACGCGTTGTACTCTTCTATATATTTGTAGTTAGTACTATTTTTATTGTTATTATTACAAAATGCATGTGTACTGTGTTGTCTACTTAAGGAATAAATGTTTTCTATTCTATTCTAAATAGACCCGTATTACTCGGCTACTGAGGTGGTAACGTAACGGTTAAAAACACACTGAAATCTATCTATAATCTGAAGTAAAAATAATAATTATTATAATACGATTAAAATTCTAAAATTTCACAAAAAATGCAAAATATAGTGCGCAAATTATAAGAACAACCATTGTGAGTGTCTCATAGTCAGGTACGATAATAACAGAACATTTGGTTAAAGTACACAGTAAGATTTTGTCTTTAAACCATCAAGTATAAATCCATGAAATTACATCAACAATTGCGAGAGGAACGGCAAAAACAATAAAGATTAAATCTATTAACAATTCAGTCAAGTAATTGTTTCCTTTCTGTCAATTACTACATTTAAATAAAAATAACCAAAAATCTTCACAATCATTAGTAATTGAAACTCACCGGCAATATAATAAGTGCTTCCAGTCAAAAACCTTAACTTCTTAGTAGTTTTGGCGGGTCTGTAGTCCACGGCGAGTGTTAACACGTCTGTGGCCATAGTGAGAAGCACCGAATGCCATCGTCCGTCGTTAAACTCGTCCTCGTAGTTGTCCACTATTATCTTCGGAGAACCTTCGGTATAGAGCTCGGCTTTTACTTTGCCTTCTTCTAGATATACCTAAAACAACGGTGAAAATATATTTCTACATAAACACGAATTTTAAAATTACAGTACATTTATTGCAGATACCGCAAAAGTATAAGTATCGGTTTAAAGGTTTTTGATATCTCTTATATTTACAGAATAATCGCCTGAGCACACTTAACGATTCCATCCTGTGTATAGTGATTTTATCAAAAAAATCCAGGAAATTATAAAAGACTAAAGAACAAAGGAGAATGTTAATAGAAAAAGTAAAACAAGTTTTCTGTGACAAATTTTGCTTCTTATCTTAAATTAGGCACAGTACAGTAAATTATTGTATTTTCAAGAAAAATATAAAAAACCCAAAAAGAATAAACAAAATTTAAAGAAAGTTACTTTCGTTCCTTTTACCGCCTTTTTACCGACTTCAAAAAAGGAGAAGGTTCTCAAGTCGACTGTTTTTTTGTATGTTTGTTACGCAATATACTCAGGCATTTGTTAACCGATTTTGATAATTCTTTTTTATTGGAAAGAGGGTACCTCAGTATAGGTCCCATTTAAATTTGAAGAAAATATACCACCTCTAAGGGTGACACACTAGAGGATGAATCCGGTTTCACGCACTTTTAAAAAAAACAGTCCGTTTTTATTAAAGTTGTAATTAAAGTATGTGCTGATAATATATTCCTGCACCATAATTAAATGCAAAGTAAATAACAGATAACTTGTTTTTTAATTGTCGCATCCACATACACCGATGCCAATGACCAGTTAGCAGTGTGACAGTTTTTATTTTTCAGTTTACTGCTTGCTTGTTGCTAGATGGTGATTGATGTTACTCACCTTAATATATCCCTCAGTCTTGAATTTGTGAAAGATGAGCAACCCGTGGCTCTCATACGTGCGGAACTCCAGCGACACGTTCAAAGTGTTACCCCCTCCGTAACCGCGCAGTTTCGCGTACGTGGACGCTTTTAGGAAAGTTACTGGAACTATGGGAGGTTCCTGGAATCAAAGACAAAGGCTTGTAAAACAGCGAATACTTTTAGAAGAAGCTCCTTGTAAAAGAGTTCGTCCGGGGAAGTGCTGTCACCATAGAAGTATATATTTAGAAATATATATTTCTGCTGCCAACCAGTAATGGAAGCAATGCTGTGTTCCGGATTTGAAGGGTAAGGGCTCGTTTCCATTATAATATGATAATAATAATAAATCATTTATTTTAACAAACACAAAATTAAACTCAAAATTGTAGTCAAAATTAAAAATAAATTATAATATGAATAAAATAAAATTACAATTAGAATACTATTTTAGATTTAGCCAATAGATGCACCATGTTACAATGGCTCATGCATTGACAGTCAAAGCGTTCAGCAAATGTCTTCAGGATACCGTTTCGGCTGACCAGAGACGTGCACCGCGTGCGCATGATTGCGCGGTCGCAATCTACGCGCGCTTCAGCAAACATCCCCGACGCGCGGCAGGAGCAAGGCAGCCCCAATAGCACCCTAATTATGTCGTAACGTTTTATTTATCGTTGGACGACTGTCGCGTCTAGCCTGTTCCCACGTCACGACTATCTGTCGTCGCTGGGTCGTGGACTTTTATTTATCGTTGAACGACACTCATACTAGCTGTTCCCACTGAATTTAGACGACAAATTATAACTATAAACGGTAGCCGCCTTGTCGTTTGCAGATATGAGACAACGATAAATAAACGTGACAACAATAGTAGCAGCGATTACCTGTCGTCACATTTTTTTCGTGACGTTTTATCTACCTTCGCGCGACTGTCGTTCTAGCTCTTCCCATTGTCACGACAATCTGTCGTCGTAACGTCAAAAACGTCGTCGACGTCGATGCTTTAAACTGCACGACTATTTGTCGACATAATGGGAACGCGCCCTAAGGATGCAGGCGAAATTACAGGCACATGGGACTTATCAACATTATGCCTCAAAGTGACTGGTGCAATGCAAATGCCCCTCAGATCTTTGCGATTTAAAACCCTGCAACTGGTTTGGATAAGCGTAAAATTTACGACCAGACTTGATGGTCCCATCACTTGATAATCATAAAAAAATTGTAATGGCCCGTCTACACGGTGCAATTTAAACAAGAAAAATACGCATTTGTTTACGGTTGTATACGAAATAACTTACTGGACAAGCATAAAGTGTGTTCACTTTCTGGAACTTAAAGGGCGCTCCATTATCGTACCCCTGTCTCAAATCTTGTATGACATTGGTTGAGTTAAGGTATATATTCTCGATACAGCCTGTGTAATTCTGGTTAACGACTAGGCCTTCTTGGTAGTTGGGTACGCCTCCGATGTAAAACTGAAATTACCATAATTTAATTAGAATATCTTCGTAATGCTTTCACAACAATATAAAGACGATCTTAAACCTGTCATTTTTTATTACGAAATGCATATTAATGACGCTATGGACCTAAAGTAATACAAGATGTAAGGAACAGGAAGAAAACTAGCCTGGCAGTTCAAGCGTCAAAAACCTAAAGATGAGATACCGGGAATCAGATAGGGTTACACTGGTCGGTGCTGAGTTCAGACATAATGTTTATTGGTTGCAGTAATGGCCTAAAAATAGATCATAGTGAAGCAGTAACTAGATCTAGAGTGCAGGCCACCTGTCGTACAGGTGGTATCAAAGGGTAGGAGGGGAAGTAACTGTAGGCATGTGTGTGTCATTGACCTAATAAAACATTGATAGTGGCTCCCATGAAGTAGAATGAAGTTAGAAAAAGTATATAAGGAGAAATGACACTCTGGTGAAAGTGACCAAAAGAATGTCTCTACTTTAACTTGCATTAAGATAAAACCCAAGCAACGTTCACTCTTGATTCCAAGGTATAAACCATTGGAAATTTAGGTCTAATAATAAAATTAACCTCCTTTTTTTAAGTCACTAATAAATTACATAAAACTCACAAAACACTTTGCTAAAATAAAGGACTACCCTAAAGGGTTTGGGAAATGAGAAATTGAATCACACTCACAGCTCTATTAAGGTTGAGCCTCGAAAACTCTCCTTTGATCCGGCCAGAGACGATGACTCTGTCCACAGAGAACAACACTTCGCGTCTGTTTCGTGACATCACCACGTCGTGCCAGATGTTGTCGTCCAGGAGACTACCCACGGAGAGAGAGGTGGCAGTGCCGGAACCTAGAAGACAACATGATTATAAAGGCGACTAGACATTTAAGCATGCAATTAGCGGCAATTTTTAAAAAAGTAACGTGCGTACGTTTTTCAGACCAAATACAATTATATTAATATGTAACACCAATCAAATGGCATAAAATAATTTTGTCAATTTCCTGAAAATTACTTTTCCAGGGAAGTACAGCTCCTTGTGTAAATGTTCGTCCAGGGAAGTCATGCCACCGTACCAATTCCTGCCGCCAAACAGTAACTCGAGTATTACAGAGTTCCGATTTTGAAGTTAGGCTGCTGGTGAAATTACAGGCACATGGGACTTGCCAACTTATGTTTCAGGGTGACGGGCAGTGTGTGTGTGGCAATGCCACTCAGACCTTTGCGCTTTAAAGCTCTGAGAGGCATTGCAACTCTCATGAATAGGCGATCTAACTAAAAAAACACAGATTTTTTTTAGATTTGTTAGGTAAATAAACTTTATATAGTTTTGTTTTCGATATCAGTGGCTAATATCACTGCCTTTAGTTTTTACTCGGGCGAAATAGATTTAAATAACGTATTTTAGTTTTTTTCGAAGGAATTATAAAGCTTGCAACAACCCGACATATGTATATGTTATTGAATGTGCTTCTTGCTGTATTGCAAAGTGGAACTTCGTAATGAATCAAAGTATTTACTTTGATTGTATTTATTTTATTATTCTTGAACAAAATTATTATTTTTAATAAAATATAAAAATAATAATTATTATAGCAATAATTTTTTGGTAGTAACGATTCTGCTTAAAAGTATTTGTTTGGTATGCAAACCCAAATAAACAAAAAGGGCAGAAAAATTTTGCGCATTCCCGAAACATTGCCAATGAAATAAAAAAAAACCATTGGAATCAGTTTTTTGAGCTTATCTTACTAAATAAGGTGTTTTAAATAAAAACTATGAGTTGATGATAATTAGTTTGTTCATGCACACAATTTAAAAATAACATAAAACATCTTGCATTAATTTTTACTGCTTTTCACTTTTCCACTATTCTTAAAATCTTTTTTATAATGATAATCACCTTTGTTTACTATTTGGGAATTCGATTTCATCTCAGAGTATACAGGTGGCCTATATCCAGTAGTGGATCGATCATAGAACTTACCCAAGTCAATATTGAGCACTAATCGATTGTCCCTCAGCTGCAATGCCAAATAGTCGCCCTGAGTGCCTCTCGAGTACAACAACACTCCGGACGCCGTGCTCGTTTTAAACCGGAACCGGATGGTCTCTCTTGAGGCTGAGATCGGATCTCGGAGGAGATCCACTTTGACTAGAGATGTGCCATTGAAATAAAGGGTGTCGGCCACTGAAACATAAAATTATTAGTTAATATTGGATTTTTATAATTTATTATGCGACACAATAAATCAACAAGACGCACTGAAAAACAAACATTAATAGGATTACAAAAAAAAATCACTTCATTAAAATGGTTTTCAAGACCATACATTGACGAATTTCGAAAAGAAACATTTTTTAGAAACCGACCAAATAATCTTATGAAAAGCCAAATGGCATAACACAGGTACCCATGGCTATGCGATTGCGATGCGAGGAGATGCAATTTTATGGTGTTTCTTTAGATATTATCTTACTTAAAAGAAATTAATCCTTATAATTTACCCTTTCGATCGGTATCATAATAATAAAGGGTTTTTTTCGCATTTGGTCGGTTCGATTCCTAGTTGAGCCAGGCAACTTTTGAAATAAAATAATGTCTATATAGTCTATCTCCAAATTTACAGTACTTCCTCTGCGTGTCGCATAACTATGAGACACCTGTATATGTCGTTGACAAAATTGGGATTGATATGAAAAAGATAACACTAGTATAACATCAGTAAAGTGTCTTGTTAGTAGTTTTGTTATTTGGCGAGTAGGTAATTACTAAGTGTTGCGAATATGCCATTACTCGTATAGAACGGCTACTAGTTGTATAGTTATAATTGAATGTTCATTAATCAACTTAACGTGTGTCTATCTGTGAGGACCTACAATTCATATTTAAGTTTTTATTCTCTAAGATAGCCGTTGCTCTTCCAGTAAGTTAAAATAAAATAAGAAAGCCGGCAGGAAAATTTTCACAACAGAGCGTTTTAAACAGAATGAGGTTTAATTAGTCATTTAAAAATCAATCTCAAGGTCAAATAAAATAAGTTAAATAAAAAACGAACGACAATAGTACTTATTATTCATTACGTAATTTTTTTGCAATGTTTGTAAAAACATCTATGTATGGGCCACCCTACTCCATATATGGATTGTAGTGGTAGTACGCAGAGAAAGACTTGCAAAGACAATGGTAAAAGTATGTTGTACGTAAAAATACAGATACTATGGTGGCAAATCTTTCCTTGATGTCATGTATAGGTGGACAGTTGGTAACATACTACGGCAATCCCCTGTTGCGCAAGACTAAAATGTATGGGCCACCCTACTCCATATATGTATTGTAGTGGTAGTACGCGGAGAAAGACTTGCAAAGACAGTAGTAAAAGTATATTGTACGTAAAAATACAGATACTATGGTGGCAAATCTTTCCATGATGTCGTGTATAGGTGGACAGTTGGTAACGTACTTCGTGAAAACAGAGTGTGAATTGCATGTTTAAATAAAAGTGCGACACGTGGCTAAAGTAGATCACCGCGAGCGCAGAGTTATGCCGAAGAATGCATGAAACCATACAATATAAATTACAAAATATGGACTTAAGTTTCCTTAATCTCTCGCCTACAGAGTATTATTTTTATTTCGTACATTATTTCTGTTGTAAATTATTCAGAAATGTAGTCTTTTTCAATTTTTTGAGTCTATTATTGATAGTGCGGAGTAAACCAGTAACAACATTTCGATACCTTCAATCAACACTATGCCAACTTAATTTTTTGACCTATTCTGTTTTTATTTTGTTTTTTGTTTCTTTTTTTCACAAAATTTGTTTCTGTTTTTTTCGAATTTTTTATTTCTTTATTTTGTTCATAAAATTCGGGGTGCATTATTAGTCAACGAACATGGCTGTTTACAAAAATAACAGGAAATGATCAAAAAATAAAGTTGGCGTAACGTTGTATTAAACATCAAATGATAATAAAGAACCTTGCAGTAAAATAGTACGTGACTTTTTCCTTTTAGTGGAAATCAGTATATTAATTTATCAATGGTGTAAAATGTAATAGAAAGTGAACAAAAAGACATATTTTACCATAATCGCAGCCATACACTTCGACTCTCATAGAGATTTTGTCCCTCCACCGCATGGGGTCGATTCTGATGAACTGCGCTATAATAGGCACTTCGAACTCGTTTCTTTGCACGGTGTTGCCATCGTGGTTGCCCTCGAACATCTGTCGATATCGCACTTCTGATTTACGTAGTTTTAGATTAATTTTATACAGGTTGACTTGTGAAATATTAGCAACCTCGCAGGACTATATTACTAACATCATAAACAACAACTTTTGTTCTATGACTTTTTGCAAAACATAATAAAAGAGACAAGCACCGAATTAGTATGGAGCTTGGTACTTCGTTCCCAGAAAAATTTAAGCAACCTCAACTTTTTGCTAGATATAAGTTTCAAATTAGCTTAGCAGAATAATAATAAAAAATTGTGACTTGCATTTTTTTTTCAATTGATCAATACAAAAGTGTTGTAGACATGTTTAAATAATTACCAGCAACACTGCGATTTAAAAAAAAATCCAAAATAGAACCCTATACGCTCCTGATATAACACTTTAGCTACCTCAACAGGCATTAGTCTCTTCATGCACGCCCAGTATTGGCAAAAAAATCCAATAAATATATATATATATAATAAGTAATAAGCAGCAACACTGCTGAAAACGCAACCGGGACAACGCTCAGATGAGAGGGAGATATATAATAAGTAATAAACAACGAGGTCCACCTTTCCCCGAGTTTCCCTCCACATTTGCTTCGTAAATTTAAGTCGTCTATATGAAATTACTCAAATAATAAGTCACCATCCAAATTTTAACATTGTGATTTTTGGTAAAAAAAAAATATAATACGATTTTTTCTTTTAATATCACTCAATATTAAAATATGACTTGAGATATGCCGCCACAAATTAATCACACATCCCATTTGCAATCAGTAGTATTCGCGATTTTATTGTAAACTATCGATTCGCCGACGCTTGCTTGACGCGTTCATAGGAACATCGTATCGCATAAGCTCTGCGCATGCGATTGAGGAAGGAAACGATTCTAACCCCGGACGTCAACGTCGCCGTCGCCGCGTTTTTCGAATTAAATGACCAATGTTGAGCGTAGAGCGCAAGTTGCTCAAGGAATATTAAAAATTGTAATTTCTGAGTTTTTTCAATGTCACGATGTTTGACCACCGTGATATTCAATTATTATTGTGAAATTACTTAACTACTTTGTAATAATTGTTAATACAACATCGAACACTAAGAAAAAGTTCCTTCGGTCCGGCTGTATTTGAACCAACGTCTCCCAGCACACTGTGCCAGACGCTATGCCAGCTAAGCCACGGAACGAACAAGCAATCTTACGAATTTGTTTATGTGCTTGTTGCAGATGTTTGTGTTTGATTTTTAACGACTTTTTTGACGTAGCGCCATCTGTGAGAAATCTATGAAAACTTTCTTCACTCAGCTAGGTATCTTTAGAGTTATCAGCAGCTGACAAAAGATCTGCAACGCAAGTTCGTTCCATGGCTTAGTTTGCATAGTGTCTGGCACGGTTTGCTCGGAGACGTTGGTTCGAATCCAGCCGGATCGAAGAAATTTATTCTTAGCGTTCGATTTTTGTATTAATAATGAATAATAAAAAAAAATTTTTTTTTATTGTTTGCTAAAAGGAAGTTTTTCATAAAAACTGTTTTCACCCCCTTAACCAAAATAGGAAAAATATTACGTTCACCAAAAGACCACCTTCCTTTACAAACACCGGGTGTCTATAAAGTGAACTGCAGTTGTGGGAGCTCGTATATCGGTCAGACTAAACGAACAATTGTCGATCGTATGAAGGAACACATCCGAGCAGTAAAAACAATGATGCACAGAAGTCACCTATCAATTTAATTCAAAAATTGAGTCTTTGTATGATACAATACCTTGAGAAAAAATTGGATGGTAACTAAAAAGTCGCCTGTATATAACCGACCAATAGAAGGATTGCCTGTCTTCACACATACACTTTGCTTTACATTTAAAAATAACTAGCATCACAATTCTCTATAGTCGGATTTAGTTCTCCACTATTCCCCGTTATTATAATAATTATTATTTTGCACGTTACCGTACAACTACTACTACAAAAGCTCTGTCAAGAAAAAGAGATGTTAGTAATAAATTGCGTATCAAATTTTACTACTTATAATTGTAAAAAGATTAACCACCATAACTATCATAATCTAAAAGACATGTCGTTTAAACAACAGTAAACTGGTATGTAAAATGCTTAAATTGTAGTATATAGTCAGTTTTGTTCTAAGAGCCTCACTACATACTCAAGCTTCACCGTGCGTAAAATTGCGCAAGCTAAAGTGATGACCTGATCAAAAGGTAAACTGGGCGGTATAAAGCAGTACATTATGTCTAATAATGTGATAGTTACGGCTAAAGACTTAAAAACAAAATTACATTCCATTGGTTATTTAAACACATCAGCCCCCGTAGCATGGCTACGCATGATAGTCGCGACACGCGTGATAAAATTGAAATAAACGCGCGCTATTGGCTGTCTCAATCAGATCTAATTTAGATGGCCAATAGCGCGCGCTTATTTCAATTTTATCGCGCGCGTCGCGACTATCATGCATAGCCATGCTACGGCGGCTGTTCTTATCGCTTTTAAAAAAGAGCAGAAGCTTATAAATACCGACCAAGGGCTGGTAGTGTACCTTAGGATACCCGTCGGAACTAGAAACAGCTCTCCAGCTTTCACCATCATCAGAGAACTGCAACATGTACTCCGAGACATATTCCTCAGTAGCGAAACGGCCCCTGGTGGCGATTCCTCGCAACTCCCTTCGTTGCAGAAGGTTGATGGTCAGGTGCTGGTAATACGAGCTCTCGGCTGCTGTCCACGCGATAGTCCCTTTACCCCGGAAGGCTAGTTAGTGCTTTTATTATCAGTGCGGTGAATTCAGCTGGATTTGTATTGGGTTATGTAATTGATATACCAGTTGCAGTTTTAAATTCTATATAATTTTATGTTGTTTTTGCGAGCTGTGTTCACTCATAAGTAGTTGTGCAATTTAGATAAGATCTTCACTAAATTTAATTTATAGTATGTTACATTGTAATAACTGTAAGTGAACTTATTAACTAAAAAAATAATAAAACAAATACCACGTAAAAAGGATTCCCCCGATCGTCGCTAATCTAAAGGGTTGGGATGACAAATGTTAGTTCTCCATGTGACTACTTTATTAAATTCATGGTAAAGATTTGGAGAAAATGTATGTGAGTGAACAAATAAGGAGAGCGCCACAGAGACAGGAGCCGCTATTAAGTTGAAAAAGATGATAATGTGCATACGAAATTATGTATGGCGTACATATGTTTGAAAAAATATATATACGCGATATACATCCGAAAAATGTATCATTTTATATTATAGTTTACATTTCCAAGATCAACTAGAGTGATAGAGAAACGTCCTGAATCTAATTTTATAATAATTATGTATATACGAATATGTTACAATTGGAAACAATAAATGACCTTTATTCAAATTTATTATCATAATATCTTTGTAGCGGTATTACGGCTCTGATAGTCATCCGCTTTGCGGAATAAAACTGCATCGCGTGACAAAATATAATAAAATATACAAAAGGTTGTGTTAAATTTGCCACAGGGGATACTTTATGATAGGGTTCCAGTATTGCATTCGATTTAACGAGACGCTATAAACAGAATAGTATATTCCTATTTGCCTAAAAATATATACGGGTTCCGAGTTTAATTCCCAGTTATTACTGGAGTGTTCTAGGTATCCTAGAATTGATCTCGTTGCTATAGTACAAGTAATATTCTATTTTGAAACTTATAAATTTGTATGAAGTTACCATGGTTGTCTTGTTCTATGTTATTACTGCTTTTAAATTTTAAAATTCAATATTAATAGAATATTGAAATTTTGTTTGAGTTGGCGCAATCCAGCTGCATTCACTTAATTTAAAATGTTGTGAATTAGTAAACCCTCCCCAAAATATTAAATAAAGTAAGTGTTAAGAACATATACCATAAAATTAGTTGAAAATCAGTGATATATCTCTAAGGTACAAAAAAAGCGAAAACAAAATACGTGCATCCGTAACACCATGCAAAACAGAGCATGCTAATGTTTCTAATAAAGACTTTCACCATGATGTACGTATTTGTTAGTAGATTATTCTGAACGTTGCCGATACCTTGACTTCGCCTCCAGCGGCTTTGTAACCAACGTAATCGCGTCCATTGGAACTATAGCTTATATGATACTCTTGCACGAATTCTTGAGAGTGGGCACGACCCTGCGTCGCTACCCTGGTCACATTCTTCACAGACCCAAGGTCTATAATCAACTGCTGATCGAAGTCACTCTCGGAAGCCGTCCATGCGTTCAAACCTTTATGATGATTATGAAAATTTAAACCTTGTTTATCTTCCATGGATGTTAGCTCTTGTTGGATGGTTAGTCGGAAATAAATTCAGATATTCAGATTGGTCTTTTATTTCTTTAAAATGAAATTTATTATTATCCATGCAATACAAAGATGCACTTTCGTTTTAAAGGTCACACAAAAACAACCAAGTATTCATACCCTTGAACAACCAAAATAAAAATTGAATATACCGAAACCTTTTCCTCTAACCTGTTAAAATGTAGTGATATATGTATATTAAAACAAAACTTAACATCTAAACAACACTAAAATAATACAATATTCAAAACAATGTCAAATAACCATAATCAAATTATTTTCTACATTAGCTTATCTTAAATTCATCTTATTTTAAAAATGTTTTAACTGTTTTTTCAGAAATTCATCTCCAAAATTTTGATCGGGTTCAATCAATGATTTAGCATCTTTCACCAAATCTTCGAATGTTAGAAAACTATATGTAACACTATAGTATAAAATTTTCTTATCATTTTGCAAAGAGACGGCCACAGCATGTTTATCATCTAATAGTGTCTCTTCGAACGTCCAATCATCTTTCAACACATCCTTTACATATAGAGTTGTATCCATATTTATTTCACCAACTGTTAACTTTCTAGTTTTCAAACAAAAACTGATTTCATGAAGGGGTATATTGATTCCTATACCAATATTCTTCACATAACTCTCTTTTAAACACCAAAATCTATAAAAACAAGCAACTTGTTCCGTTTCAGTGGGAAAACTGCTAATCATACGCCATTCGTGTTTTGAAAACTGTCTATTCATAAGACGAAAGAATTCTGGGATGTTCTTATTAACCGGTTGCTCTATTTTCATTACGTCAATGCCTATGTTCTTTTGTATATTTCCTGCAAGTACCACATAGTCTCCTTGGTGCGATATGTTGAAACCAAGGGATACATCTCCAACACCAAGTAAATATGGTTTCCCTTTGTCATCTCTACCAAATCGAATTTCTTCATAAGGCATGTTAGTAGATAAATGAACATATTTTCTTAACATAAGTCTTCCGATAAGCGACGACTTTGCATCATTCTGGAAGACATATCTTGAAATTCGTGCTTTCTCTTCCAGTTGTATGTAACTTGAAGCAGACACGATTTGCGCCCTTGTAGGTTTCCAAGCAGAGGCATTGAATGCCCAACGAATATTGGGTTGGTGATTCATTTTGGTATATAGTCTTGAGAATCGATATATTTGTGAGGGGCAAACACTCTTGTTTTTAACACTGTTGACCTGTAGATTAATTAATCCTATTACTTGTTGTTCTTGCTTCTTCTTTTTTTATGTTGGTTTCTACCGCACAGTCTAATTTTGCAAATAAACAAGAATTTACTTTCTCTAGCTCAAATACGCAACTAAATTCATGCAAAAAATAAAATTAAAGTTAAAAAAAAATTGCACATCTAGTTAAAATATACTAAGAAAATAATAAATTACTAACAAAAGTACTATCATAAGTAGAAAACTACCTAATAACCTAGCAAACTGTTTTCAGCTTCATCTATATCTACTCATATTCTTTAGTATGAACTAATTTGAGACAACGCATGTCTATATCACAATAAAATTACATTTACAAAAGTGCTATCAAAATTGAAAAGCTCTAAAGCAAATTTGAAAAATTTATAACAGTTATTGGTATTTAAAACAGTTACGTTACAAAATTATTCTGAAACAGTTATAAGTTTTCTTGTGTAAGGGCATCACAACCCTTATTAACACAGAATCGCATTAAGCTGGTCACAAAAGTTTTATGTGCATCCAATAAGAGCAAAAAAGTTGCGTGTTTCTCTTCGGCAGTTTGAGCAGATGCGGAATTTGTATATAATTTTCAGTCTACACGGATATAAAACTTTTTCTAACCAACTCAAGCCTATTCCATGTCAATAAGTGTAATCACTCCCTTAATAGACTAAGTTTTTCTTTCAGAATAAATTTGAAGTTTAGATTAGAAGTATCATATCCTGTAACTAAAGTTATTAAACTACATATGACATACCCCACATTTTTTTTTCAAACACCAACGTTTTGAGGTTCTTTTCAGATCCCATGGTCACATGAACACTATTTTAATCAGCTGTGAACATGGGATTTGAAAGGAACCTGAAAAGTTAGGTTTTGTTTAAATAAAATACAAGTTTTATTTCTAATATGTAGCAATCACGAAAAACAAAGAGCTCTACATATTGTTGGTGTTTTGTAGAAAAGGCGAAAGCGCCATTTTGCAAAATTGTTCAGGGAATCAAATTTTAGGTTTGAACAACTGTTTTAAAATATTTACATCCTGTTTTAAAATTAAATTCCAGTTTTAATTGAGTAATAAAACTTAATTTTAAAATTGAATTTACAGGACGTAAATATTTTAAAACAGTTGTGTAAAACTAAAACATACTGTCCTGAATTTTTTTTCAAAATGGTGCTTTTGCCCTTTCTATTACCTTTTCTCTAACAGCGACAATTATAGATACTCTTTAGAACTGTATGCGAATTATACCTGACATTTAGGGTGAATCATATTTTTAAAAGCCACTCCTCAATTTAAAAATTAAAACAAAGATTTTGAATTATAAATTGACATATCACTCTAAAGTTCAGGCTGTTTTTCAAGTCAAGCTATTAGCCCACAGCAAATGCATTTTATGGCTTTTCTATAAACTTACCATACAACTTAGCATTTTCTGGACCTCTATCTCTCAAACTGGATGTGGCTGTAAGCTTAGCGTTCGCTATAAGCGGCTCATTGCATTCATAATCGAAGTAATATTTCACATTATCTGAAACCATTCAAGAAACATTAAACTACATGTATTGATCTAACAAAATGTTACTGACCGAAAGTTTTTGTATAGGAAAGATGACTGATGATGTACAAAGCCGACAATGGAAGAAATTATAAAGTAATGCTAATTGAACTAAAGATTTGAAGGTCAAAAATAAAAGTTTTGGAATCTATGAAAGAATTCCTACTTTTTAAGAACTAGATGAAATTTATTAATATGTAGATGATACAAAATATGTATTGTATTAAAAAATCCGAAATGCAGGGCGTTGACTGCAAATTATAAAGAAATATTTGTATAAAAGTCCGTTACTTACCTGCGTCAGTTTTCGTAATGCTATAGCAAAGCAACACAAACAAATAATACACGAAACCACTCATCATAATTTCATACTTGAATCTTATACGATATATAAAGGCTAAAGACGCATCAGTCAAAAAAGCGGAAAAAATTGTTTGATCATTATACGGCGTTGGCACATTCGGCAAGCCGGACAACACCCAAGTAAGTTCTATGTGTCACGAGTTAATGTCAACAACAAGAATATAACGTTTTTTGTATGGTTAAATGTATTTTAGCCAATCACGTTCAATGGAATTATATTCAACTTATTTTGCGCAAATAAAACAAACTTAACGGAGAGCGTACAAAACGTACATTTTGTATACGTAACAAAGGTAATAATGACATATGTAAAATGTAACATTTGCATATCGACGGCTTATTTCAGACATAAAATCTTATCACAAATAATAACAAATTGATCTGTGAATTTTTGTTGTTCCTTTTCTTTGCAGTTTGCTGTTCTGTTAATATTACTTAATATATGTGAAAGGTAAACTGCTCTGGTATCAGAACGCACGTATTGCTATTTTAAAATAATAATTTATTTTCGGGTATTTAATGAATAAGAAAATTTATTAAGTAAATGTCGCAATCTACTTAATAACGAAAATTTGTTTACATTAAAACAATTAACGAATTGGTGATAAAATTCAATCAATTTTAGCATAAATTAAATGGTTGTCCGTTTACGATAAGTACCCATTTGGTGTTTGTTTGTGAAAAATAGTAACATTAAGGTTTTCCCTAGAAATATTCCAAAAAATATTATGTGTGGTTGAAATGATTGATTTTTCACAATTTGTCTCTTGAATCATCTATTAATTGGAAAATTAGTCCTGCAATTCAGTAAAAGAATATTTTAAGCTCGTAATTCACTTTAAACTAAGTTTCTAATTCAAGTATTACATTCCTAAACTCCCGTTATCCGCAGTATCGTTTAGCCACGTTTTGAACGTATATTTTAGTTGTTGAGTGTGGTGGAAAATGGTGAAAACCTTATAAATAAAGAATAATTTGAAGGTAAGAAGTTATATTCCGTTTATAAGTTTGTTTTCACACGATTTCTTTTTGACTCGCTGTGTTGATGACATCACCTCGTCTTACCCCACCTCTGTACGTTTATACCACATTATTACAATTTCTTCCATACCTGTGCTAAGAACCATCTTCTAGTTCTAAATTCAGTCATAATACTGCCGCTTAAGTAACTATTCCGAATACATTTGCATTTTAATCAAAACTAGAACTAAATGTTATGCACTGATTTGTATTGCAAGATAGCCCTCTCAATGAATGTGATTGTACCACAGACGTCTGATGTCTGGTGTGCATTATTTATGTGCTATATCTAACATTAAAATGTTTAAGCCGAATGGGGCACTGGACTTGCAAAATATTTTTAAAATTTTGTTTTGAATTTTTTTAGTGATTATTTTGGATAAATTAGATATTAATAAAGACTTTTTGTTCTGATTAATTTTTCTCTATATATTTTCATAAATAATTCTAAAATTTATCTGGACGTATGGCATCCAACTCTGGGATAGTGCAAGCAATTCCAATATCTTGATGCAGAAGGATGCAGAATGTTATCATACGATCACTTCCTAACGCGCTCTGAGTGGCACTGCAATTGTTATGGACAGGCGCGAACTTACCGTTGGGTGCACAATTTGTTCATTCCACACACAAAATACACTAGACATGTGACACCTGCTGTCCCACGCATTTGCTTATAGTTTGAAGCTGATTGCAAATAAAACAAGACCGCAACAAATATATGTTGTCTTAATTTAGTCTAGTTTCTGTAATGCCCCCTTTCCTACCATCTGACTGTTGAATCTGAAAATTTACAAGAGAAACAATGCTTAACAAAAGTACATGCATTTAAAATATACTGGGTTGTTTTGGGTTTGTAAAATACTAAAAATATGGCAGAACTATATTACTGAATAAAAATATTTAAATAAATAGCTGTAAATGGATTTCAATACCATGGTATTCAATAATTTTTTGTGAAATTACTCCACTACAAAGATTGAAAACTTAGAAAAAAATCACTTCAGTCTGGTTGGATTTGAACCAATGTCTCCCAGCAAACCGTGCCAGATGCTTTGCCAACTAAGCCATGGAACAAACCAACGGACCCCACGAATTTTTCCATGTGTCTGTTGCAGATTGTTGTTTTTGGTTTTTAACGACTTTTTGCCGTAACGCCATCTATGAGAAATCTATGAAAGTTTAAAGTTGTTGTTTATAATATAAGTAATAGGTATAGTTCTGCGAGATTGTTAGTATTTTATAAGGACGTATATAGCAAAGGACTGTCAGTATGTTTAATTTTTGAAAGAGAGTTCTTTCGAAAACTAAAGGCGACATGTTGTAAATTGATATCATTGAGCAATTTAGAGTCATTTGCGGGCAGTATTGCTTAAAAGATCCAGAGGGGATCATCTTTAGGGTACAATCTGTTGTGAAACCCTTTACATAAACCAATGTTTTGTTATTTAATAGTGCTCAGCTTTCACTAACTAAAATGTAAATTTTATACTGCTAGAACCATGAAAAACAACCAGTCATGGTCAGCGAACATGGCTATATTGTTTGGTCCAGCCATCCTGACAGACAAACAATAATTTGATTGATAATGTCATACACACTTTTTGTTTCTTAAAGCAGTTAGTCACTATCAGCAACCATGTCAAGTATGTCAGATCGCAAGGCGGAGCTAGAGCGGAAGAAAGCCAAGCTCCAAGCTTTACGTGAAGACAAAGACCGTCGGCGTCGCGAGAAGGAGCAGAAAGATGCTGAAGAAGCACTTGTGAGTTTATCTTTAGTTCTTTATTGACTGCTTGTAATCCAAAAAGCAACCTAAAAATAGTGATAATGCAACTTTCTGGAGAGGAAATCTAATAATATATTATCTGAGTTGTGAATATACAATATACTTCGAATTATAGATAAAGATAAAGCATTAAAGATTTGAACTCTCTATTGTTCGTAAACTGGGGCCCTACTCTCGAATCACGAAATTCGTAGTAACGACTGTTCCACTATGGATGACTTGTATTTTGAACAGGCCGTTTGACAAATTCAAACGGATCTCTTGTTGATGGACTTCCAGAGTAGTTCCATGTAGGTCATCTGTAAAGGGAAAACGGCCATAAATATGGTAAGTATTTGAACCATATATATGACTATTATTCATTGTAATTGTCCTATTGTTCATTATAACTGTCTTTTAACTTTCAATTAACTGTAACGACTCTGGTGGCTCAACGATTTGCACTGCAGGCCTAGATTTAATTCCTGGTAGGACCAATTTAGGAAATTAACCTTTTAAAATGGGTTTTGGTCTAGATGTTCAGGTTAATGCCCTGTGGTGAAATCTCTTGCTCTAGTACTCATAGTACTGGAAATTCCCTAGTTTGAGACTAGGTGATTGGTGTGGTTGACATTGTGAAGATGTACTGAATTTTTTTTACTTGGTTACATAACCCCAGGAGTCGACAAATAATTTGTTAACAAATCTGTTACACCTCAGCAAAGAGCCTCGGCAGCATCCAGCATAGACAGCCGACGAGACCTTGACGAGATCCTATCGTCACTCGGCGTAGCACCTGTCAAGGATGTTTTATCATCGCTGTCTCTCACGCCACCGCAAACTGCTTCGCCAGATACTAGTTTACCGCATACCGATAAATCCAGTTTACCTTCTCAAGGGTGAGTTATTTTATATCAATATTAAAAGTTTGTTTGTGATTTAATTTGGTATAAAAATGTAGACGTACTAAGTAGCTGTCACATTGTCACATTATGATATTAGCGCAAAAACATTCAACTTTGAAATGAGCCTTTGTAATAAGAGCGGTGGTGGTGCAATACGAGAATTTTTGCTTCTCTTTTGACATATCTACAGTTGCGAATCCCTGTGTCGGTATGTACCTATGATTTTAGCTTCTACGTTACGTACACTTGCGAATAAGCACAGAACAATAAATACAGTAGAAGTGCTTAGCTTGCGTGTCACGTGTGCCAACAATTTTAGCTCTGTCCGCATTTAGTAGCAGTAGAGCTCCTTGTGAAAGAGCTCGTCCAGGGAAGTACTGCCACCTTACCTATTTCTGCCGCCAAGCAGTAATGGTCACATTACTGTGTTCCGGTTGTGAAGGGTAAGGGTGCTGGTGAAATTACAGGCACATGAGACTTGTCAACTTATGTCTCAGGGTGACGGGCGCAGTGGCAGTGCCCCCAAGATCTTTGTAATTTAAAGCTCTTGGTGGCACTGCAACTGTTATGGGCAGGCGTGTAGCTTACCATCAGGCACACGACTTGTTCGTCCCGTTACTTAATGTCATAAAAAAAAAAAAAAAAAAAAAAAAAAAAAAAAAATTTTCAGTTTGTATGTTATGGACATGTTTATTATCTTGCGCAAAACCTCGAAAATCATAGAGGAGTTTGGAGTGCAACAATTATAGCCGCACTTGTAATATTATATATGGCGGTGTTTCGTATCATCATTAAGTCTATTCTTTTTAATTTTAATAAATTTTACATTTCCTGTTTATCGTTATCATTTTTTGTTATAAGAAACAAAAGTAAACCTTATATCGCTGCAATAGGGTCGCTTCTTTTTTCGAAGAACTAAATAAACATCTGGAATTCGTCGTCGTTCAGCTATTGACCGCTAGATGGGAGCACATTGAAGTTTCAATTTATAATCAAAACGTAACTTGCAATAACAAATAGGTATTGAACTTTGAACGATATGCCAACAGGGTAAAGTTTAAATTATATTAACGGTTCAGAGTTTTTTGTCGTTTTTCTTTTCAAATTTGAAACTGCGACCAATCAATATCAAGATTTCATAGTGTTATAGCCATTTTTCCATAACAGTTCGACACACGCGGTGGCTGCGCGACGGCAACTATTATTCAGAGAAATTGAAATGTTGTTGCCTAGTAAATAGAATTCAGATTCGCCATTAACGTACATGAAGGCGTGGTATATGGGCAGTCGTTGCACGGCTGCCGCGGGAAAACTTTCGCCTCGTGTAACTGGGCGCTAACAGTTCAAATCAAATGCATTTATTCGTCAACACAGGATACAGTACATTGAAATACTTGGTATTAAATAAGTTATAGCGACCCTCTATGTTGCACCTTCAGGCATACGAACTACATAAGTGGATGATGAACATAGTTATTTTACTTAATTATTATTTATTTACTTAATTATTACTCAATTTTATTTAATGTCAAATTACTTAATTATTACCGAAATATTCGTTTATAGAGTAAAATGTTTCATTAACAAGGTATTCAAATAGATTTCTTTTAAATGTTACAATGTCCTTAATGTTTCTTATGTCAGATGGTAATTTATTATAAATCTTGGCACTCATTGCAATAATACTATTACATAGGAGGGCAGATCTGCCACCTACGTTGTCAAGTTTATTATTCCTACGGGCACTCTTAACACAATTAAAGAAGGGCACTCTTAAAACAGTTATAGCCTCCTCCACGCCTCAAGGCTCATAGCCAGCCCCTTGATCTTTTTATAACTGCTTACTTTGATCTTCTTATCTATTTGTGCACTATACGCCATAGTTTTGTTATTTGATTGAGATCATTATTTTGCTTTATAGATCTGGCAAGAAAGCAACACCGCAACTGCAAGTAATCACAGTGCAGTCAACGGACATTCCTCCGAAGGAGAATGTCGTGTACACCAAACAGACCCAGACCAGTACGTCTGGTGGTGTTAATGAGCTGAGAGATGGTACGTACACGCTTTCTAAAAATCTATGTCATCTTCTGGGCTGTTTCGACTGTTATTTAACAGTGTGAAAATTTTACGGACACGCCCACTAAGTTCTTTAAGACCTTTTCCGTTTCATGAGTCAGTAATTTTTAAACAAAGAAGAAGGGTCAAATTTGACCCACTCGCGGCGCAAAAGAAACATATCTCAGACTTTTGCTTATAATAGGTAAATAAATTCTATATAGTTTTAATTTTCAATAACAGTGGCTAACATATCAATATTGTCTTTTATTTTTGCTCAGGCGCAACAGAGTCTGGTAATGTATATTCATGTGTAAAGAATAGTCTACCACAGATTTTGTACTCTATCGCTTAAAGCTGTCATACCCATGCCCAGTGCGGGCTGAAATATATATGGTGAAATATATTTTGGTGTTTTGCCCACCCCATTCTGAGATATGTTTTCTTGGCGCCGGCCATGGTTAATTTTTTCCTTCTTTTAGTTGTGACGATGATTGTTAATACTATCATTAATTATGATGTCCTTTGAGTTTTCAACACTTTGGTAACACGTGCTACAATATTATAATAGTCAAATGACATGAATAAAGTAATTGAGCTCATTATGGGTTAGTACATGAGATAATTCAAAGGAAACCAAGTTCCCAACACGTATTGGGCTAGGTGGCAGACTGTGGCGCAAACCCTCTCCGTAGATTAGACACGTGCAGCAGTGGGTTTTTAAACGACTTTATATTAAATAAGTCACTCAAAATTTCATCTAAAAATATACAGGGTTAAAAAATACCATCCAGTATATAATCAAAAATGGAAACGAAATAAGCCACCCACCCCTGGCAACTCATCAGGTAAATGGGGCTTAATAACTTTTAAATATCAACTCTAGTTTGCGCTGAAATCACAAATTAGAAAACTGAGTGAGTGAGAAATAAGTTTTTTGCGTTATTTTACTAATAATTACTGCTAATAGCTCTGGTCAATGCCGCAATGCCGGTCGTAACATGCGGTTCCTGAACACACCATAGAGAGCTTATAATACAAGTATGTACATAAATAAAGCAGTGTATGTAACTGTACATAATTAGGCATTTAAACACTCGTGTGATGTTTTGTTAGCCACACTCTTATTTTATTGGTTTTCATTATGTAACAGTCACATAAACTACTAAGCAAGTTCAATTACTTTATTCATTAGATTGCTGAGATTTGAACTTCTTGTGTATAAGAGAATGTTTGACTATTTTATAGGGGACATGTTCTATTTTTCATATCATATTGTCCTTCTCCTCACTGACTGCCGGGTCTGATATTTTTGTCGTAATTGAGTAAGCGACATGATCTTACTCAGCTTTTAAAAGCGAAAATTGTCCCACAATCGTGGCATGGTTAAATTTTTTAGTATAAGAATAAAACTCATTGATATAACCAGATTGGGACGAGCTACAGCTCGAAATATGACATGCTAAATGAAAAGTACGTACTTAAAAAAAACCCAATACTAGTTTCAACAGTCAAACACCACACTTGTTTGGACTTGGAATCGCATTAAACCGGTGAGAAAATTCTTTTAAGTTCATACAATAACAGTGAAAGATAACATCTATTTTTAACCGACTTCAAAAAACAGAAGGTTCTCAATTCGTCTGTGATTTTTTTTGTATGTATGTTACGCGATAACTCCGCCATTTGTGAACCAATTTTGATGATTATTTTTTTTGTTGGAAAGAAGGCACCTCAGATGTGGTCCCATTTAAAGTTCAAGATAATATTCCGCCTCTAAAGGTGACAAATTAGGGGATTAATGACTTATGAGGTCGGTTATTTTAACCGGAGGTTAGGTTATTAAAATTAAACTCTACAACTCATTCGTAAAGCAGATTTCCCTGTAAAGTGAGTTAGAAACTTTAGGGGTTATTCTTTGTAAATAAACATATGTATACATTTATCATTTACAACATTTATTCTAAATATGATAGATCAATACAACCAGCAACAGCTAAACGGGTCACTACCATGAATTTTTGACATCCAAGTAAATAAAATAAAAAGATATTCATTTCTCCACAAAACACAGGAATCACAATACTTTTAGTTGCTGTAGAACTCTGTGTGGCACTGCAACTGTTATGGACAGGCGTGTAGCTTACCATCAGGCGCACGACTTGTTCATCCCGTCACCTATATCATTAAAAAAGAAATTTAAAAACTAATATAAAATACAATTGAGTTATGTAAACAAAAAGGTTAAAAACTCAGCATTGCTGATTTTCAGTCGCTTGCTGTAGTAAGTACGTAGAAGCTGTATAATAACCTTTAGTCTCTAGTTTTTGCGTCACTATAATTTGAAATGTTGTAAATGGCAAATTTTGAATATCCACCAGAAACCTGATTATATATAGAAGCATTAACTTTAAACCTTAAATGAATTTGGTGACTACGCACGTAAGGACGTCTTTCAAGAACTGCCAGTATTATTATTCTACGTATTAATGTTGTGTTTATCACTATTTTTAGTAAAAAAAAACACTATTCTTGACATACTCACTCTTACTGCATGGACATAAAGGCTTTTTCTAACCGATTCCACGTTAATAAGTGTGACACCCTTAGTCAGGAGAGGGGCAATATTAACTATTTGGGACGCCCGATGGACTGTTTAAATATAAAATTTTTGTTATTAGATTTCTTTGTGTGTGTATGGCGATTTAGTATTTACATTTAAAAATGAAATTTATGCTCTAGCATCGAAGCTATATATATCTTAAATAACATTCCATAACGCTATGTAACGTTCAATAACATTTCATAACAAATTAGCGCAAAATATACAAGTTGTTGTCAATAAATCAAAACATATATAAGACAGCATGAGAACATTAGCATAGAATCTAATATTATGCAGAGTAACAAAATGTTAATTTATTTGAATTGTTATTCAGTGTGGGCGCACTTGGAGTACCTTTCAGTTGTTTTTTTTTTAATAATGATATGTGATAACAATGATTAATTCAGTTTTCTATAATAAAGAGTCTGAAATAGTCGAATTCGAAAAAGAACAAGCGAAATGCCTCAAGAAGTTGGTGTTTCTTGAATCTCTGAACAGATACTTTTAATTTGATATTTGAGACTCAAAGTATTTATTAATATTCATAACTGTGATGTTTGGGTGTCGGTGTAACCGTGTCGTGTGCAAACCACCATCAGCGCCCCTTTAACGAATCTCCAATCATAACTTTAATTTGCAAATGAATCTGTCCCCATAACCAGTGACATCATAAGTTACTACAGCAGTATTTACTTTTTGTTTTTATTTAGCCTGTGATCTGTTGCCTGAGTGTTTTTTAATTTGTGTTATAGTTTTATAGAATTATCATTTTATGTATTTATATTTGATCATCCTTGTGTGTTTTAATGTGTGAAGGACCTTTAATATTGACATCCTATTCGACCTTGTTCCACTTTCAAATTTTAACTTTATTCTTAAAAAAACTATAGTTGTACAACTGTGTGAAATTTCGAGTCGACACAAAAAGCGATGGTAATCCACTAGGGAACGGTTACTTCTAAACAGCGAAGTCGACGTTTCTAAACCCTGTGACGGCAGTAGAAGATTCAGAACCTTTGGAAAACGTGTGTACCCAGCGACCTTTGACCGAAACCATAGCAAAATGAGGCAAGTAGTGTAATGCACATTCGCGCGGTTTATATGTGAACACGTCCACTGTCGGCCGTGTGTGCACGTTGCATATCGCGGGTCAACAGACGCGCCATTCATTATAGAAAAACGTTCGCTCGGTATTTAAATGCTAACATCAAATAATGGTAAACGTGTCTATTGTTGTGTTTATGTTAGACAATTTCATAATCATACTTCCATGATTGAAATCCCAACACGCGACGCCAGTATGTAAGTACAGCATTTGACAAAGGTTATTTCAACATAGTACGAGAATATCTTAATTTTTTTCAAATTATATTTAGAGCCTATCTAAAATAATAATGTAACACCGTACGCTACGAGTGACGAGTAAGCATTAACGGCAGTTGGACTCACAGGACAATAAATACAGTAGAAGTAGTTAGCGTAGCGCGCGTGCCAACTGCAGGCATAGTTCCTCCTACATGAGCTCAATCAGCCATTTTTGTTTTGTACGTTATGGTTGTGTCAATTTTTTCTCGCAAATTCTCTAAAATTGTGGAAAAATTACTTATTGTGCTATTTTATATTGTAAAAATTATAGCATTACATGTCATAGTATCTCTTTAGAATCATTTTACAATTTAGGTTCAAAACTCTAGAAGTAGTTTTACAAACTTTTATGTTGTAAACCTTGTATGTCTTGAAAATATTATTTATGTGTTATCAAGATCAGATGCAGCATTATTCTTCTTAACCTTTTTTAACATTTGAAATTCAAACGAATTGTTATGAACCTGTGTTGCTCACTATAATGCGAAATTATTTCTAGTTTTTAACCGACTTCAAAGAAGAAGGAGGTTCTCAATTCGAATGTTTTTTTGTGTGATTTCGAGGATTCTGTTCTTGTTGGAAAGAGGGTACCCAGTATTGTATCCATTTAAATTTAAAGAAAATATTCCACCTTTAAGGGTGGCAAACTAGGGGACGAATTCGCTTTCGCGGACTTTCCGTTAACCGATTCCAATAAAACTTGACAAATAGATGTAATTCCTATAAAAAAAACCAATAAGCAAACTTTTGATGTCTTTTTTAAAATAAAAAAGTTATACTTATTAATAAACACGATTAGGTTCAGGCAGCAGGCACAATAAATTGTGATTTCCATCCATTCACGTGTTGGCCTTTTATTATAACTGTTCATTATACTATTTATATGTTTAAAATTAGAAATATGTACATATATTTAAAAAAAAGTAAATACTGTTTGAGTGTTGGTGCAATGTTTGTTTGTGCTACCATATACAAAGGCTCTTCCAATGCATCGCCGCTTGCAGGATACATGGAGGACTGGTGGCGGCCCCGCAAAGGTAACTACAATCTTAATAACATTATTCACAAGGTCTATTGTTCCATGAACATAATACAAGCGCACTGTTCACAATACATAGATTTTAAAGTTCATAATTTAGAATGTTTCATTTTATTTTTTTGTTACGACCTTTACCGCTTTTTCATGGTCTTTTAATTACTTTTTCTAGACCTTTTCACCGTTTTCTACCTTCTCTTTTTGTCCTTTTTACTAGTTTTTCTTGACCTTAAATTTTACTCTTATATTTGTTCTGTTATTCACATTAAATTAATGTACACTTGTGTGCGTTTATGGAACATATTTTTGCATGTCCTTTAATGATTTGTGTGGTGAGAATTCTTTTACTTGAAATGAACGTTGGATTATTTTCTGTTTTGTTGAGTTATTGTTGGAACAATACATCCGGCGCATGTCATAATTCATTTTTGCACTGGGACAATGTGCATGGGCTCACATAACAAAATTAACTCATCCATCATCTCATTATTAAAAATATTTATAAAACGTTATTAAATTACGTATTTTATACTTTTATTTTTCTAAATGTAAATGTAAGGGTGTATGATTTATTATAATATAAAAATAAATGCAATTTTTTATTACTTCAATTGTATAAATTATCACGATTGTTAACAAACAATTTTTATTTTTTTGTCCAATTATAGCACACGCAACCGATTACTACGGTAAGTCATTGTTCCTCCCGGCATCTAACATAACCTCTCTCTGTCATGTCAGTAACTTGGTGTCGGGTTTAGTTTTCATCCGAATGTTTTACATAGAACCTCTTTCACGCTTCTAGAAGTTTTTTTACTAACGTTTTAGTTCAGATTACTTGATAAAAAAAAGCCTCCGTTAATAGCTCTCAATATCATTGTCCAAACATTATTTACGTTCTATTTATCAAGAAATCTGTATCTCCCCAAAAGGGTATTATGGGTTGTTTTGGGTAAACTTAAACATTGGATGATGTGACCATTTAACAGTGGCCTTCCAGAGTTCTCCACGTGGCATCTTGACCACTTAGGGTTCTCCCACACTGAAGTTACATAACTCCAAAAAAATTGTTTTGTTTCATAACACGACATGCTTTGACTGTTATATACATAATGTTACGACGTTATGTAACTTCGGTTTAAGAGTAACGTAACTGTGGCCTTCCAGAGTTCTCCACGTGGTCATGACCACTTACTGGCCACAAAACATATAAGTATATCAAAAACATATACAGATATAATATGTGTATCAAAATATGGTGGTAGTATGGGGTTGCCTTATCATCACACGCTGACTTACCTTTTCGGTTCGACTAACAAATGCACAGGTTTTGAATCTTAGACCTTGGATGGAGGACTGCAAAATGAACAATTTTAATTTAGAAACCTTGTGTATTTATTTACCTAAAGGCCCACGCGTAAACTTACGCGTTTGTATAATATGTGCTCATCTAATGGAAAACAGTATTTCGTACAAGTGGCTCACACAGAGTACCGTTTTGCCTTACACAGCATAGGCATTAAGGAATCACCGCACTCCTCGACTCGAAACCCCATTGAGCTAGTCAGAAACAGCTAAAACAGACCTTGTAATAAGAGCGAAAAATTATTGTATGTATCGCCTTGGTTCGTACAGCGCGACTCGAGACAGTTCGGAAACGAATCTACGAATTTCTAATCGCCATGACGACGCTCGAACGGCAGCGGCGAAGTCCGATTGGCCAAACTACTTCCAAGGTCACATTTTGTTCCAGTTCCGATACCAGAGCTAAACGGCGGCGAATCGGCTCAATGCGGCATTTGTGTTAAAACTAGATCGCCTCAAGCCGTTTCCGCGTAGATGAGTGTGGGGATTCCCTTATACAAACGCCTAAATGCTTTCCGCAAATATCCCGCGTATTATACACTTAATAAAATTCGCTCCAGCGGCAGCGTAAGAAAAATTAATAGTTATTTGTTATGCAAGACTGATGAGTTGTTGTTTGACGCGAGTGGTTCGAAAATAGGTTCTTGCGTGTAGCGAGGGTTTCAAGGCATAAGGCACTGCCGAGCGAAACACACAACTTTTCACCTCACTATAGTGAGGAAAATTACAGATGAAAGAAAAACAATTGAACTATAAAATATCAGTATTTTAATAATGAGAAAAAGTTTATCTGCATACATTTTTATACTTGCTTGCACTTTTATTTTGTGTGATTAAGTAATTATTGAAATTATTTTAGTTCTTTGACGGATTAAAATAATTTAATAAACACAATTAGTTATCATTGTCAATTTAATATCAACAATAATAAGAATAAAATATACCAACGGATTTATATTACATAAATAGAATTTCATCGAAAGAAAAAGTTAGGTGCACCACAGTCCACCGTCAAGTTCGAATTTCAAAAACGTTTTCCATGCTAGCGTGCAAAAAACGCTTTTGCGCGCAAATTGCTAATGAGAAAAAAGCCTTTCCGAGCTAGTGAGGTGAAAAGGCTATTGTTAATCCATTATTATCGGGTTCTTTGTTCTATAGTTTCTTTGAAACAAGTGAAGCATTAAAAATGCTCTACAATCAATAGAGCCTCGCCTATGTTTGATTTTACGCCGATTATCATTTTTATGTCTGTGATCATAATACCCGCAACTTTTTGTAGTTCCCAACTCCACGGTCTATTATAGGGAGAAGCTGTATAGAGCACAATTGCTTATCTATGTATAGTTTGATTTTTATTTCATTAATGGTCGAAAGATACTGACATTTTTGTTTTTTCCTCCCTTTTTTCAAGATGAATACAATCTAAATCCGGGTTTAGAGTGGGAGGACGAGTTTACAGGTAGGTTTCAATTCCGAGATGCGCCCTTTCAAAAGTCACTTGCATGTTTTACGTTGTGACTCATGTATACTTCATATATTTAGTAACGCTATTACATTTAGATGCTAACAAAACATAACTTCGCACTTACATTTTGCTGGCTTTTTATAACCATTAACTAGTGTAGTTTTTTTACGTTGACTTACAAATAAATGGACGACGGGTCTAATACAAAAACCACGAAAAAAATGTCTTAAGTCAACCTTGTTTAAACGTAGTGACATGTCAAGGAATATGAAAAAGCTAAAACGTTGAATTTAAATTGTAATGTCATCGCAGTACTGTCTAATTTTGCTTGCTTCGCTCTCAGTCGAACAAACGAAGACTAGAGCGTGAATGACGTATACGATTTTAACGCCCTATAAGTTCGGACACTTTTTAGCGCGGACCCGACGTCCATATAATTGTAAGTCAATGTTTTTTTAACATCATTTTTTTATTACATTCTTTTTTTGTTTGTTTTATATTTGATTAAAAGTTGTGAAAGGCCGGCAATTGCCATTTTATTGACTCGGTGACAAGGTCAATTTGAAATATATTTCTTTATGTGATAAAATTTTATTTATTTCAAAATGCATGTGACAGATGTGTATGCATGACCGTGATGTGAGTCATCATATTATGATATTTTTTTAATAGGATTTTTCATTTTATTTTTTTGTTTATTATTATTATGGTTATTTATTATTATATTTATGAGACATGTATCTCTCTAGTGGAGAGCTCGGGAAGTTGAGTTTTTGCATATTTTAAAATTAATTTTAAATTTTAAAAGCTTTCTGTCACCTAAGCTTATTAATTTGTGTGTCCGTTGCACATGATTCAGTTTTTGTTTTCGTTTTAATTAAAAAAAATAAAACTGTTTTGTGTTCAACAGTAGAATATAACAAAGTAGACGGTAATTTAATTATTAGCATAGAAATAAAGCTTCAAAATTTTTTTTAATCAGATTACAAATTCCATTCGATTATTTAAAAAAAAGGAAAGTTTCAAGTAGTCCACTTTATAGTACCTTATATCGTTACATTTCACTTGAAAGAAATTACTGTCGTAACTTAAAAATTTGTGGAATGGAGAAATCACGATTAGAAAGTTTTAAAAAAATCTGAATGGATCTCATTGCTAATAACGTGATTTTTATTTATGCCTACGTAATATTTAGTTATCCATTTATAAACAACAATATTTATTTATTGGTTTCGTTCTGTTCTTTTTTTTTTACTTTCAAATAGTGTTTTGTCATTTCCACAATTTAAAGAAATTTAAAGACGCAACTTAAAATTCAAAGGAACATAATTGGCTTACGTAACAATATAGAATATGAAACTATGAATAACTTTTTTCAATAAAATCTGTAAGTTACGCCCATTCTATAGTGGACCCTATCTCCACCACATACAAGCGTCGTGGACTTATATTAATAAATAGGACCTCATGTTGTTTTGTAATATACAAGTAATAGTGCTAAACAGTGGACTAGAAACTGCTTAAAATGAAGATACAGTAATATTGCGAATTCTGGTTCAATGCTGCCATAGACGGTAGGAAGCAAACGTGATACACAAATAGCATTTTGCATGCTAAAAAATATATAACTGTTCATTGGCATGAATATATTTCTTTCACTGTTGTAGTGTATGCGACTTGCCATACCTACACTCTGTCTCGTGTGTCCATGCGTGGGTACACCCAGCCAGTATCACGAGAGCCGTTGGCGAGAGTAGGCAGGGTGTTACGTCATGCATGACGTAGGTACGTCAAGTCGCATACACTACACCTGTTCTTTTAGGACATTGATTCTTCAGATTTACACACTTGCTAGAACTGATAGATTGCAAATTATTCATACTTTTGCTAAATGAAAATATCTAATATCGATTTCTTATTGCTACATATTAGAAATGAAATTATTTTTTTTGGAATCCAACTCCTCACTGTGTTGGTAAAGTTATCAATTGGTTTATGACGTATTAGAGCTCCTTGTAAAAGAGTTCGTCCAGGGAAGTACTGCCACCTTACCTATTTCTGCTGCCGCAAAGCATTTCCGGTTTCGAAGGGTAAAGGTGCTGGTGAAATTATAGGCACATGGGACTTGTCAACTTATGTCTCAGGGTGACGGGCGTAGTGGCACATCTTTGCAATTTATAGCTCTGAGTAGCACGGCAACTGTTATGAACAGGCGTGTAGCTTACCATCAGGAGCACGACTTGTTCGTCCCGTCACTTGATATTATAAAAAAAAGTTATACATACTATGAAAGCAAACAAAAATAGTACAGAATAGGGTAGTTATTGCATTGCATTAATATTTTATACATAATTTCAGTTTACCCACTAAGTCAGCCATGGGACCTGTAAAAACCCGAAAAGTTGGTTTATTTAAAAAAATATTATATACGAAGTCAGTAAAGTGTGTTAATATTACAATCATTACAGCGACATCTACATCAACTTGTGGTAGCTGTAAAGGTACCGGCTGAGTGAGAATGTTCGAATCCTGCCAGGCTGAAATAATTTTTCTTTGTGTTCAATCTTTGTATTAATAATTGTAACAAACTAGTGGAGTAATTTCACAAAAATAAATGAATGTCACGGTTATGAAAATCCTTGATATTCAACAAATCAAAATGTACGAGATTTACATCCGAATAAATAAAATGTAAGACATCCAAAATTCACAACCTGTACGTATAGACTAGAGCTAAAACCGTGTCTTTAAACACATGCCATGCTGTACAGTGGAACCATTTCGTCCGTCGTTTCTTTATGAACAGACGTAATTTGGAATTTTAACGGAAAAAAAGTTATTTACATAGTTCGATTGAGAAATACGTGTTCATTTTGTTATGCAAATAATTTTCCCTTAAAATTACAAATTACGTACTGAAGTAAATTACGTTAATAATGACATTGCACGCATGCTTCTTGCCGTCTCAAGTGTGTTCTCAGATTTCTCTTTCTAGTGTCTGTTTTGCGTCGTAGAGTTGTAACATTACTGTATACTTCATATCAGTCGAGAGCACATAATTTCTCAACATTTAATTTAACAAGTAGATAACTTCGTATCCTACAACACGAAAAGGCGTATTTATATTTTTTTAAGGAAATGCCTTTTTTACACAACACAGTATATGAAATTGTGACTCTTTTTTATTAGACAGATAAACCTAATAGAAAATGTTTACCACCACTTAAAGACAATCTAGAAGGGAAGGGTATTAGTAAATCACAAATTAATAGCGATAATTTATATTGAAACGTGGAGAGAGGTAGACCCCTTCATAAATATTTTGATCAGATTGCAGATGCTCTAAAAAGCAAGATTACCAAGCCAAAGAGGCGAAAGGGGTTTGTTATAACTTAGGAACAACAGGTTCATGATTTCTGCCTTCCCCTTGTTCGTATGTCAAGAAATATCTTTAATTTTGCATACCGGAACATAGCAGTGCTGTTTTGTGGTAGAAATTCAACAGTATGATGGGAATGCTAAAGACACAGATTTACTCTTTCCGGGCAATACACCGGAGGGTGTAGTAACCCCCTCTATTTGCTCCGCTGAATCCGCTCTCTTCTTTGAAGTTTAGGTAAACTTCCTCTGCCTATATTATCTCTGCTAATTAATAAAGATTTATTTATATAAATTGATGGTAATTACCTAGTAAGTTCGGCATAGAACCCTACCACCAATGCTAATAAATGAGAATTCATGATGACGCCTTTTTGTGTTAAAGGGACGACTAGCCATTGCACTTGACCTGTTGTCGACTCTACTCCATCTCACCATTGCAAACAACCAATTACAATTTAATTAACCATTTTTAGATTTAGCTAAATATTAAAATAAAACATTGTTAAAACTTATTCATACTACATCACAAGGTAATCAACTCGTGCAAGAATTAAACGTAACAGTAATATCTCACCATTTCATGTTAACTATCTTGAAAGTAACACAGTAGAATCCATTTTGCTTTGTGAAATCACATGTTATAGCACTAGAGTAATATAATTTTAATGTACTTCACTTTTTGAATGTAACACAATTCAATGAATACGACATTTAATTTTGAATGTTTTCCCAAAACGTTTAAAGTACTATTGGCTGTTACATGTGTTTTCATTATGACGTCATTCTTCAGTAGTTACCTTTTGTAATGTAGTTGAAGTAGTTGGGACACAAGTTCTCTGCACACAAACCACTGTAAGTTTCATGAAGTTTTCACAAGTACTAGGCTCTCTATTAACTTGGCAAAAACCATTACCAAACTATCAAAGAGTAGTTGTTCAATTATTTTTATAAAATTTCATGAAATTTTGCAAAGAAATCTCAGTACGACAGACTTGTCATGGGGCATAACCTCTTCTCCAAACATTAAAATTCCTTTGACAAGTTATCTTAATTGTATTCAACATTTCGAAATAAAATTTAACAAGTAATAAGTCAGTCGTACATTGCACATATGCACACCACACCCGGCAAGGGCCATTCTTATTCACCGTCCAGTGCTTACATTCGACGGTGACGGCGTGCGGCAAGGCGATGAGGAGGATGCGGCGTTCCATGGCAAGCTACCACCGGGGATCCTGCCGCACGGCCTGCCTACCGTCAAGGAGGTGCAGCCTGCTGTCATTGCTGCGCCGGTCGAGAAGAAGGAAGAAGAGAAAGAGAAGGGTTAGTTGATGACTGTAACATAGAAAAAATATTTTGTTTTTCAGGCAACGTGCGCAACCCAATCAAATTGAGTTCAAGCAAATAGTCTCCACCTCAAGCATCTCCTTTGAGGAGACCCGTGCCCAAGTGAGACGTATAAAAGCTGACGACGGTGACGATTAATGCCTATATTCAGACTTTAAGCCTAACATCTTCTAAGACAAAATAAAAGACTCCTGGCCATAGACCTATGAAGTGTCAGCTTCCAAATAAATATTTAAAATAAAAAATAAAACGTTTATACTTAACGCGAATCTCACGTGGAGTACCGTTGGCACGCTTTCTGACAATTGTGGTCCATCCCTTACCATATTATAACTTGATTAATGGAATTGAACAGCTGAAAGTTGTCCTTGATTAATCGTTATCTCTAACGCCACCCACTATTCAGGGGGGCTACTCCCGTACTCCATTACTTATTTGACAGTAATTGTAGTAGTAGAGCTCCTTCTGACAGGGAAGTACTGCCACCTTACGTATTTCTGCCGTCAAGCGCTAATGTGGGCATTACTGCGTTCCGGTTTTGAAGGGTAAGTAAGGGTGCTGGTGACACATGGGACTTTTCAACTTATGCCTCAGGGTGATGGGCGCAGTGGCAGTGCCCCTCAGATTTTTGCGATTGAAAGCTCTGGATGGCACTGCAACTGTTATGGACAGGCGTGTCGCTTACCATCAGGCGCACGTTTTGTTCGTCCCTTCACTTACGGGAACAGACCCCCTGGTCTCACCAAAGTTCTAAACTAACTTAAACTATTGTCTTTAGTCCGCGAGCTTAGCGCCGACGAGAAGCAGACCATCATGCTATCAGCGCAGTTCCAGAGCTTCGTGAGCCGCGCAGGACGCATCATCGAGCGGGCGCTAGCAGAATCTGTCGACATCTACACGGATTACACTGGTGGCGGTGATAGCGAGAATGCCACGTACGTATTTTGTTAACCAGCAATGTACTACGTATAGTTCGTAAGGTTCGTCGTAAGACGTATAATTGAATAAGAAAACAAATTACAACAGAGACGACAAATCGGACGCTCGTTTGTCCCTGGTCCGCACATTCTACGACGAGCGCTGGTCCCGTGGCCGCTGCGTCACCTGTCTGGATTGGTCTTCAGCCCACCCTGAACTCCTCCTGGCTTCGTACCACAACAGCGATGATGCTCCTCACGATCCCGACGGAGTCTGCCTCGTGTGGAACACCAAGTTCAAGAAGACCACTCCAGAGGATATTTTCCATTGTCAATCGCCGGTTATGAGTGCTACTTTTGCTAGGTGAGTTAACATTTCTGCCAAAAAAATTAATTTCCAGAATCATTGCTAAATCGACCTCTCCAACGTAAAGTATCGTATGTCGAAATTACCAAGTTTACAGGGGAGCCTTTAAAAGTTCTGAATTCAGTGATATAAGCATAACACGTGACTAGCATTTCTCAGTTTTATTCATCAAAGCTCGTTACTCACATAGAGTATTATAATATCCTAGATATCGGTTAGATGATCTATTAGATTGTCACTCTGTGTGAGTAATGAGCTTTGCCGAATAAAACCGAGAACTTTAAACCGCTCCCCTGTAAACTTGGCAATTTCGACATACGATACTTTACGTAGGAGGAGGCGAAATATCCAGCCCATTCCTTGACTGTCTGACAGTTCTGCCGTCCATTAACTAAAAAACGGCTAAGTGACAAAATATTTTTTTGAGATATCGTAAAAAACCATAACCCAGGTTTAGAATATTGAAACTGTTTAATGATAATTCAGCTATGCGTCGAGCGCTCTATTTAAATCGGATATTTGACCATTGTCACTTAGCCGTATTTTAGTTAGTGGACGGCAGAGTTCACCGATTTTAAATCCTTCGTCTCCTTGCAGGTTCCACCCGAACCTGATCCTGGGCGGGACGTACTCCGGCCAAATCGTGCTGTGGGACAATCGCGTGCAGAAACGAACGCCTATACAGCGGACTCCGTTGTCTTCTCTCGCTCACACGGTACCTTTGACTGCCATCTACTCATACATTTGCCATTTTCATAATAATATTATGATTATTATAATATTATTGCCGAATAAAACTGAGAAATGCTAAAGTCACGTGTTATGCCCATTTCAGTGAATTCAGAACTTTAAAACGCTCCCCTGTAAACTTGGCAATTTCGACATACGATACTTTACGTAGGAGGGCTCGATATAATAATTTTAGTACATTTCAATGAAATAGAATTTTAAAGCTCCTAGCACAGTGGGTTACGGTTTCTTCCCAATTGAAAAGCCGACAGTACCTATGATTTTAATTTCTAACTTACACATATTTGTGAGTAAAACTACCTTTGTTGCCGAACGGTTACAATGCCGGACTGCCACGCAGAGGTGCCAGGTTCGATTCCCGGGCCTGGAGAAATATTTGTATGGAAATATACAGTTATGTCTTTCGAGTGTAATTTGTGGTTGTCTATGTACATACATAGACACATGTCCACAACGGCACCCGCAACACAGGATTTCTCTAGTGCGGGGATATGTTGAGTGTGTGCGTTATTATTATTATGTTTATTTTAAACTCTCGCCTCTCCCAAGGCCTAGAAGACTAATTTTGAATTTTTAAATGGGAGAGGCGGTATTTCCCGGCTATGGCACAGTCGGCCGGGGTCAGGGACTCAGGTCCAAGAATCGGCGAACAATACGTGCCGTATCGAGCAGGACCGCCTTCTGCATTTGTGCTGGAAGCGACACGCCACAGAAATCCAACCGCCTCAAGCTGTTAGAAAGGCTGACTGGAATTAACCCATTTGCGGACAAAACAATTGGGATTATTTCAGTGGAGGCCACATCCCACATGTCGGTCATCTCGTGCGCCAGGTCGAGATACTTCCGGCGTTTCTCGGTGTCAGCTTTCACGAGACCCTCGTCATGCGGGATGGTGACGTCCACAAGAAATACCCTCGACTGCGATCGATCCAATATCACAATATCAGGCTTATTCGCAAGAATAGTCCTGTCCGTGATAATAGATCGATCCCAATAGATTTTGGTGCGGTCATCTTCGAGTATTGGCTCCGGTGAATACTTGTAAGATGGCAACCTCTGTTGCACTAGTCCGTACTTGAGAGCGAGCTCTTGGTGTAATATTTTGGCTGCCTGGTTGTGTCTGTGCAAGTACTCAGTGTTAGAAAGAGCGGAACAACCGGAAACAATATGCCTAAGTGACTCTCCGGGACGGCCACATGCCCGACAAATGTCTACTGTGCCGTCCTTTAGGATATACTTATTTCCGATAGTTCCGCGTCTTGATAACCTGATCCTGTATTGCACAGACAAAACCTTCGGTTTCCCCAAAGAGGTACCCGAAACGCAGCCAATGTAGGGAGGCTTTACGGTCCACAAAAGGCTCGTGGAGTACCTTGAAGAACCTCCCATGGAGCTCCTTCTCTTTCCATACGGACTCGCGGTCAGAGGTGCTAAGCACCACCGGGTCTCGCCATTCCTCTTTGGCCAACGATAAGGGAGTTAGCCCTTTATCACCTCCCCACGAATTACGTCATCATAATATTATTATATTAAAAAAAATCAAATTCACAACCTAAGATCAGCACTAGGCTTCGAAAATAGTACTAAAAAACAAAAATTGGTATTTGTACTCGTAAATGAATACGTCAAAAATTTCTAACCAAAAAAAATCTCGTGGCATGGACAATGTAGGATGCAGTGCGGGATTTATTTTTTTGGTTATTAATTTTAAACCAATCACAACCCAGAGCAGTGAGCGTAATTAGTATATATGTAGTAACAATACCTCTCGCTAATGGTGAAGAGTGCTCAGCAGCGAAACGTATAATGAGTTGACATTCCAATAATTGTAACTTTTAAAAAACCGACATCCAAAGTATGTGGAATTACGTCTATTTGCCAAGTTTTATTGAAGTCGGTTAAAGGAAAGTAGATGAAATCCAATAAACCGGATTCATCCTCTAATTTTCCACCCTTACAGGGGGAATATTTTCTTCAAATTTAAATGGGACCACTTCTGAGGTACCCCTTTCTAACAAAAAAAAGAATAATCGAAAATCGGCGCGATCCCATTATGTCGTGACGACAGATAGCCGTGCAATTTAAAGTGTC